AAGACTTCCGAATCAAAGTTTCTGTAACCTTCTTCACCGGATGCGTTATTCGTACACGGGTGTCGAGGGCTTGATAGATTACTGTTTGTTTGGCCGGGAAGGGGGGGGGGGCAATATTTCATCAATGGGAAGGAGTTTTGTCCTTCGGAGGTGAGACAGACTATGGCAACAAAGATATCGAACAAACCGCGAAGAACAACGAGGGTGCAGTCTAGTCTTCGATGTCTCGCAAATACATTGTTAGATTTTACACTTCTTCTCAGTTTCTTGCCAGCGATTCAGAAAAGATGGCGGACAGAAAATAAGTCAAGGCTGAGGATAGGAAGGCCGGCGAGACGGTAAGATCGCACGAGGAGTGCGGTGATTTTCGACAAGATTTGACGCGTGCAACCCGTTCGTTTGTCGTTTGCGTATAACAGGGGTGGTCAAACTTTCGATCGCTATGGGTGACCTGTTTTTTTAAATTATAGACGGCGGTCTGCCAACATCGTGTGTGTTAAGTGATCATAAGAAAAGTAGCAATTTAGAGCAAAATATAAGTTTAAATTAAAAATTTAAAATCAGATAGGTGTATAGAAATTTTGGTTAATGATATTGTGGAATTTTAACAAAGAAATCACTTTATACATAATTGACCTTTGAAGAACGAACATCTAACTTGGTGAATTCTTTAAAAAAATACTGCGAACAGATTCGGGGTAAAGGAGCGAGAATGGAGAGGATTCACCACTCGAATTTTAATGTGTCCCGGTGTCGTTGACCGTAGGTGCTGGCCAAAGAATGCAGAAAGAAGGGACTTCCGGCAGACACCTTCGAACGCAAACCACCGGAAGATGCGATTAAACGCTCGCCGATTCCCCTAAAACCGTCGCCGGCCATTCCCAGAACGACATCCGGGATGGTGGGTCTGCGTTCATTCGGCCCCGAATACAATCTTAAATTCGCATTAACTAGAAGGTGCACAATTACCGGTTTGTTGACAAATATTGTTCATTGTCATTCCGAACACTGCATAGGACAATTAAACCTTCATGAAACCCGTGATGTGAAATGGGACAACCTACCCGATCGATTGAGCGTTGACTAGATTTATAGGTAATAAGAGTATTATATTAAAATGTTTGAAATTAGAAAGACAGGAGAATAATAACTTAGAATACGTAACCAACATACGTATCGTACACAGCTAAAAAGTATAAACTAAAAGTACATAACTAATAAACCAGATGCTGCAAACAGTGTGAACAACGTTTCTCTTTACTTCGATTCCCTAATCCGTTTAAATGGACAATCGAAATTACTTTATGCTTCCTGAGAATTTGAAAAGTTTGGTGAGACTCCCAGTTCGGGATGTAAGCTTCTTTCGCTTCTTTGTCCGGGAGCTCGTTCGACTTATTGATCACCGTCGAGTCGTCGTGCGTTACTATAACGTTCTCGTTTTTGCGGATCGAAGATTATGTTCGTTATGGGGAAGAGCCACGCCACCCATTGCTTCGGCAGACGGCTTTGGAAATTGTTAAAATATTTCGTATACTGCCTCTATAGAAAGTTCTACTTGACGAACTGAAATAAAAACCGGGAATTGAGTGCTAGAGATGATTACCGATAAAGCGGGACGTTTTACGATTTTTAATTTTGTTCGTGGTGTGATATTGGAAGGGAGTTATAGCAGTAATCTAGCGCAGTCTCATGGAAGACAGAAAATGCTGTGGATAGATTAGACGTTTTTTTTATGGACTGCTGGAATTAATTCGTCATTTTATGAAGCTGGATTATTTCGCTGAAATTCCTTAGTATTTTACAGTTGACCTCATTTTTCTTACCTTGTGATCAGAATACGCGACGATGTCGTTCTGTACAGACATGGCTGTTGGAAGATAATTATACTTAAGCAGCAACCGTGCTACAAGGGTGTCTGTGCTCAGTTTCTCTAAAATTATATATAGCGTATATAATAGCAATTACGCCTTGACGATCGGCGCAAAGAAAATATTTGCTGTCAAAGGAGAAACAAATCAGTCCAACGTTTACAATAGATCCCTTTTCCGCGTGGAAAGAACCAAGATACCTTAAATGCTTCTTTTCTATTTTATATAGCGTCACAGTATTCCTCTTTCAGTCATTGTTAATCGTCACGAATAATTTACCGTTTGGACTGAATAATATTTCTTACAGCCTAGATGTAGAAATGCCAAAATCATTCTTCAACAATTACGTCTCTTCATCTACAACATCAAAATTGAGAAATCTAACATGACTCGTCTGCTTGTTTCCAATTATAGTAATTTTATCAACTTTTCTTTTAGGTGATGTATTATACGAGGAGAGATCTGGAGAGACTGTAACAGGAGAACTGAGCCTTCACAATTCAACGAAATTTGTGTATCTGAACAGAATAGACTTTCTACAAATAGTGATTATTGATTAATTATGCGAGATTTTCATCTTCACTGACTAAATATATTTCCCATCTACATCCACATGAGCTCTCACATCATTGGCAAAGATCTTTCAATTCTTTTCACCCATTGTGGTTTCTCAGTAGAGTATACCATCATTTCACAAAAACTTGGAACTACAGGATCAACGCCAGCGCAATATACAATGTTCACATTATGGGTTAATGTAACAGCTAATATGTCTGCAGTATGGCTTTCGTGTGATTCAATTAAGGTGCCCTTGTGAGGATCCCAAAATGATAAACAGCCACGTAAATCTCCAAAAACTATAACATTATCATCTGTAACTGCTAAACACCATATAATAGTTTCTTTTTTAACGACTTTCTTATACGTTGTTATCTTGCAAATTGCAAACCCGATAAACCTTCCAAACCCTAATTGTATCTACAAATCCAATGGAAATCATTTCTCCTGTATTGTCCCATTTGATGCAAAGAATCCTTTTCTTCTGTTTATCAAAAATTCTTCCATATATCAAAGCATTGATTACAGTAAATGAATCAATATATCTATTCTCTGTACGAACAGCTAAGCAAGTTTCTCATAATTAAGATCCATGCACTAAGCAGTATCTCCTGTGACTGCTTTCTCGTTTTTAATTGATAATGTCGTTAAATTGTATCCTATTATCATTCCATGAAGACCTGTTGAAGTTTTTTAACGTCCAGCTATTGTACATTCCACAAAAAATGCATTTCCAACATTCGAGATTTCAATGGAATTATTATTTCTGTAAAAAAGTTTATAGAACATTTAATACAGTTGTATTTAATGTGCCAGCTTCGTACGTGTACACAAAAACTAACCTCACCAGCGCTATCTTGTTTTCAATTCATAAACAAACAAGTTATAGAACGAGGCTCAAAAATATAGAAATTAATGTTATGTATTTGGGATATTGTATACAACAGTTTTGTTAATGTAATTGCACGATCTTGTAGGAAAATGCTTAGGAGAAATAATAGAAAAGAACCCCGCATGTAGCGGGGTTACGCTTCCGCTTTTCGCTACCACGCAACTTGCGTTTGTGGAATATCCCTAGAGAATTTCACATCCCTAGATGTCTCCTACAAGCTATTTTGTATTTATATACATATGTTACTTACATATGTATTTAATATACACTAGAAAGCATTCATATTCATTTATGAAATTGAATAAGATAAATTTTCAAGTTTAGTACAAATCATCTATTATGCAATACATAGATGATAACGTCATACAAGTACGTGAACGTTAATTAACAGGTGTTAAAACATGGCGACGTAGTTATTCTGGTTTTACTATAGGAAAAGATTGTTATATGTCAATACGTACATATATGTTATCACGTCAATAAAATTCGTGACTCATCTGCGTAGGATTTCTGTATTGACATTACCAAAATATTAAAATAAATGCAATTATATAAATACGTTGAAAATGGTAACGTACGTGTGTCAACCCTTTACAATAGTACTCTTATGTTTCTGTTATGAACATCTCTTAGTAATGTTAAAATAACCTGGCTGTACTATATAAATCCGCTTATATCATTGGGAATCCCCACAGTTATCATGGTTAATCAGTATAATCTTATAAACATTTTTGAGAAGTAATCAAATCATACACTTCATTTTGGAACGATATACATAACGTAATACATATGTTGTAATTACATATAATCATACGTATATTAGATATTAATTGTATTATAGTATAGCTCATGAAAGTAACATAATATATCTATCTAATATTATGCTGATATATCGTATAATTATTAGTAGCATTTAAGCGTTTCATTGGAGAATATTTTTAACATTCCAAAATCATTATCTGCGCTCCAATAATATTTCTTAACGTTAAATTGCAGAACGATGCAAACGCATCGCGCAAGCGCTCTGTAGACTGACGTAAAACTTCCCACATTCAACTCAACCTATTTAATATCGGCAGAGAGGTCTCTGGTATCTGCTATTTCGTTGCTCGCCTAAGATTTTCAGTCGAAGGTTGATGAGTCCAGTAACTGTGACATCTCTGTGCTACATTACGAACGTACAATTCTCGTATACATATACCATATTGTATTGGTAGACGTGATCCACTGTGTAAACTCGGCAAACTAATTATCATTTTAAGCGTATCCGATCAACCCGCGGTTTCAAGATCTTAAAGCACTCTTTTAAAGAGGTAAATAATTGCCATATTTTTACTCATTATTATCGATTGTAACCATTTCTAGAAAGTGCGCATGACGCATCGAATTGACTTGCACAGATAACAATCTGTTTTTCTGTCAAATATCGTAATGTTCTGCTTCACCAATTATACTACTAATTCTTTAACTATAATGTTCTGCTATGCTATTGCAGAAAAGATTATTTTTCTGGAACATGGCAGCGCAGTTCGGAAAATGTCCGCTGTGAAGTTTTAATCCGATTAGCTGTTTTTCCGAGAACCATGACATCGTTCTGTTTACTATGTATTGCAATGCTATAATTTGCTGACCGAAACAACTTATTAATCATTGTAGGTATTCAAATTTACAGTAAAAAAACATAATTGCGGCATCTCATCGATGGGAAGATGAAATTGTGCTCAATCTAACGTAACTTGATGGCTTTCAATGTTTTTTATTATACTTCTTTTTCCACTGGTATATAGTATATGATGAGAGAAACACATCTGTGTACTGTGTACTTATGTTCCTAATAACGGATAATATTTATTTCTAACAGCAATATTAAATTACAGGCGATATCAATGTATTAAATTAATACTTAGAGATAATTGTGAATTGGTGTTCTTTAAGTGTATTTTCATTTGATATTAATTTTCTGAAAAGACGAAATCTTGTATTTGTATTTATGTTCAATTGTACTGCTTACGTATATATCTAGTTGTAAGCATTTACATGGATTTATGTCAGATCAACCACATGTTAGGGTATTTATAAATATGAATACAAGTCTTTTCAGGTTAGCTCAGGTTTGAATTTAACAATTTCAGGTATGTACTTGAATCTCTAATATCTAGAATGATGTAGGCAGGTCTGTACATTCAGATAAGATTAAAATCAAATGAGTCAAATTCTTAGATTTAAAGAATATTGCCCATTCATAACCATCAATATCAATCATTCATAACAATCAAATCTTTGATCTTTTTAAATGAGAATATTCCATTAACACGTTCGTCACCAAGTCACCCATAGCTGGGTGACGGATATGCTTCTGTGGGGTTCCTATATATGGGTGACGCTCTTCTTGTTCAAATTAAATAAGATTTTCAGTTGGATTTTCAAAAGGAATATAAATATGAACTGAAATATAAATATAAGATGTACAACACGCGTTAATGCAATTTTTGCTTTTTGAGAATAAAAAAATCTCTGATGTGCATCTCAGAAAAAGTATGTTTCATGACTAAATGAAGGATCTGGGATAATTGCAGTGACATCCCTCGCAGTCCTCTAACTGAAAAGCTTATCGCTTTCACCACTTTGGAACTAATATAATTTTATAATGTATCAAAGGCTCTGTAACATTAGATTGCTGACAACGCACGGGCTTACTCAAGTTGTATCGTTCTTACGATGGTGCTGGGTGACGAATGTGTTAAAGAAAAGATTTTACTTCTAAGTCGTATTAATATATTGACACGTCTATATATTTTAATGCCCTCTAAAATATTATTAAATGTAATTGATAATGTAATAAATTATATGTAAATCAAATGTTATTATATCATAATTTAAAGGTTGCTGATACATTTTTTAACATTAATTTGTTATAATAATAGATTATTTTTCAGCTAGAGAAAATACAAAATGGCAACTTGGCAGTCTGCTCCAGGATACCCACCACCACAAGGTTCTAATTTTTTATTTTATATGTTCAAAATATCTTTAATATCATTTATGCTTCTAATATATGCAGCAGAATGTTTAGCAAACTGTAAATATTATGATGCTTATTTCAAGTGACAATCATCGTTCTTAACCATCTACGAGTGTGTGGACACTTCAGTCATAATTTATAATCATTAACAGCAAATAATTATTCTGTGGATTTTATGCATTTATGACAAAAAGTGATAAGTTATTTAAGAAACTGTACATATTAGAAAAATTTAAGGAAATTATTGTTACATTATTAACAAAATATTTAAATTGCTAAAGGAAGAATTACATTTTCAATTTATTTCTATACCATAGAATTGACTTGGTAAATTTTTATTTTGCATAAAAATCTGCAATCTACTAATAATGCACTTATAATATTCACATATTTACACAGAAGGGATTGTGACCAATGCTATTAATAACTTTCATGCTATATTACTAATCAGTGGCTGTTATTAGAGCACAAGAGTTTGTAGAAATTAATGCTTATGTTAGAGAACAGAATTCATTCCAGAATAATGTTTTATCCATTAAATATTGATTGTGCAGGTTATCCTCAACCAAATCCTGGCTATCCACCTCAAGACGGGTTTAATCCAGGATATCCACCTCCATACGGGACAATCCCACCAGGTTGGCATACTTTTTATTCTAATGAAAGTAGATGATATCTACAATACCTGTATGTATTTTGTTGCAGCACCTGGATTTGTTCCTCCTCCAAATCAAATACCAACACAAGGTGGGTTTTCAGCACATCCAAGCATGTATGATACAAATTATGCAGAAGATCCTACACAACATGATTTGTGTAAAGGATTTGATTTCAATGATAAATCAATTAGGCGTGGATTCATAAGGTTCGTATAATGTCATGTTTCTTAAAGTTCCTGGCAAACTGTCTTGAATTGTAACATTATGTATATTTTTCAGAAAAGTGTATAGTATACTGATGTCACAGCTTCTGATTACGGTGGGAATAATAGCATTATTCCTTTATCATGAACCAACGAAGCTTTGGGTGCGACACCATACAGAAATATTTTGGATTTGTTTTGCAGTTACAATTGTTCTGATCATATGCATGGCTTGTTGTGCAGATGTTAGACGAAAGTCTCCAATGAATTTCATATTTCTGTTCTTATTCACGTTAGCAGAAAGTGTATTATTAGGTACAGCTGCCTCCACGTACAATTCTGAAGAGGTAATATATGAAAGAGAAAAATATAAACATAAAATTGTTCAATTTCTTGAACGTATTATACAGTTCTAAATGTTTATAGGTTCTACTGGCCGTTGGAATTACTGCAGCTGTTTGTTTTGCACTGACGTTATTTGCATTCCAAACGAAAATCGATTTCACTGGATTATCTAGTTTTCTTTTCGTCGCGTTGGTTATTCTTATGCTTTTTGGAATAATCACAATTTTCTGGCATGGACCAATTGTAAGATTAGTTTATGCATCGGTCGGGGCTTTGCTCTTTTGTATTTACTTAATTTACGACACGCAAATAATGCTTGGTGGTGACCACAAGTATGCAATTTCTCCGGAGGAGTATATCTTCGCGGCATTGAATCTTTACTTAGATGTTATTAACATCTTCATTTACATTTTAACTATTATTGGAACATCACGTGATTAAATATTGTAATATATAATGGTGTTGGCAGTCGTTGGGATTAATCTTTAACGTGAAATGCTTTTATTCATTATTATTCTGTTTTGACTCTCTTTGCTTGTTTAATTCAGAGAGTATTGCAGACGAATAATTGAGATCTAAAAAATAATTGAACAGCATGTATTGCGCGTTAATTTCTACAAAATAATAGCTTTTACACGATTTCAAATTATTGCTATCACAAAAAGCGTAGAAAAATCAATATCTTGAAGTATGACTCCTAGTCTTGTAAATCAAATAAAGTAATTCCTATGCTTACCTTGAGAGGCAAGCTAATTGTTATTTATAGTTGATAGTATAAATAAGATTTTGATGAATGTGACAGCAGTATGAATACGTGTATCCTTCTTTGTTTCGTTTGTATTGTATACTATTTAAAGAAGTATTATTATTCATGTATATTAAATCTCCCTGGATTCTATAAAACATCTTTTCGGGATATAAATA